CTGGGGCTAGTATGTAGGCAGGTCAGTCCCGTAAGTTGGGTGTAGCTGAAGTAGGCACTGGTCCAGCAGATGTACCCAGAGCAGGAGAAAAGCCACCTCGAACGGCCTGACCATACAGCACACTGCATCTACATTTCACCTTTTAATCACTTGTGGAGCCAGCTGGTGCTCTCCTGAAGCAACTCTAAAGAAAACCCCCACCCCAGGGCTCTCTGTGCGCCTGGAGACACCTTAACCCCCACTCCCCACTGCAGGACCCGCCACATACTTGCATTTCTGCAAGAAAAAAATCTTCCCCTTGAACAAAACTAACTGCCCCAGGAGACAGCCCGTCTCACAATACCCTAGGCGGACAGGCCTCACAAACTGGCCTAATCAGTCATAAATCGTATTATTCAGAGGAGTCCCTGACAGATCTTACAACCAATCAGGTACCTGTGCACGAATTGATCATGCAGCCCCTACTCCTGTGTGCACAGCCTCCTCCTCCCTAAAAAGACCTTACACGCCCACCCTTGATGCTTTGATTCTTTCCACAGACCCCTTGTCTGTGTGGCCTGCTGTTGCCTATAGCAACGTAATTATTAAACTTTTCTCCTATTCTTAAACTTCTCCTTGCCTTTGGTACATGTTTGCCTCGGCGCTCACACCGGCAGCTCTCGTCTGCGTGCCCACTGTTGTCTGTAGCAGCGTAACTATTAACCTCTAATTTGGTCTTAAACTGTCCTTGGCCTCTGGTAAATTCTTTTCCCAACCCGCGTCACCAGCCCGCCTCGCTGGGTCCCACAGCATCACTTGCATGTATATTCAAGGGCCCTCTTTTCATCTAATACAGTCTATCTGGGCTTCTTCTTTTTTTTTTTTTTAATCAGTCTTGCCCAGAAGTTTATCGATTTTATTAATCTTTTTAAAGAACCATATTTTGGCTTTTTTGACTCTTTCCATTATATCCTTCTTTTCTTTGTCATTAATGTTGGCTCTTATACTTAATATTTTCTCCAGCTCATTTATAAGACACTTTTTTCTACTTTTAAGACTCTTGTTTGAAAGTGACAGAAATCCAATTCAAAATAGCATGGAAATAAAGAGGATTTCATAGGTTCATATAACAGAGGAATCCAGAGTACAGCTGGCTTTAAGCATGTGTGTTCCAGAAATCTCCTGGCTCCATCCGTCTCTTAGGGGAAGAGGCTGCAGGCCCAGACATATAGACCACCAAGTTACTAACCCCAGCAGGAAGACATCATTTCCTGATACCTGTGGCAGGAGAGTCTCAGAGAAGCCTCTGATTGGTCCAGCCCAGGTTAGGGACCCATTCCTGAACCAATCACTGTGCCAGGAAATTAGATACTATGGCCAGGCTGTGGTCTAAGGAGCACAGTTACAGAGAGGTCGTGACCTCAAATTCAAACCCAACAATGAGAAAGCTGGAAATAAAATGCTGAGTTGTTAGTGGCTGGGCTGGGATTTCAAGTCTTTCCACACTGACGGAGAATCACGATTTTTGTGAAATGTGAAAAAGAACACTTATTGAATATTATTAGCCTTTCACACATACAGAAATAGCAATCTCTTTGAAGTGTGTTATCATTAAATAAATAATCATAAGATGTCTAAAGAGTCACCCTTATTTCCCTGCTGTTGTCACATTCCTCACCTTTGATGGAGTATGTAATTTAAAAAATGCTCTTCTTTCTGAAGGATACAATGAGTCAAAAGGAATATGCTTCTATAATAAAAATTCACATTAAAAATACAGAGAAAAGCTTTCAAATACTTTATTTCTAATAACATACTCAATCAACATTGTAAATATTGAACCAGCAGTACAAAAGAGTTTTATAAAAATTTTGGCCATAGTTTCCGATAGCCAACGATATTCAGTTCTGAGTAAATTATCATGATTATATAAGAATAAAGAGCATTTGTCATCAACAAACATTTAGAGTACCAAATCTGTACCAGGCCCTACAGGGCACTTTTCCTGCCCTCTAAAGAGCTTACAATCTTTTCTCTCCCATTTGGTCAACAATTAGAAAGTATTAAAAATAACTCTAAAAAAAATATTAAGCTCACTCACTGTTTTTTTTCCCCTAAGAGATCAAAAAATTATTTATCAGAAGTTGTGGTCAGCTGAGTGCTAAAATACTTGGGTACAGTTACTCTCTCTATAGCACTAATCAATAGTTACTAATAGAACAAGTATTATTGGAACATTCTACAACCCATTATCCCCAACAGATTCCAACGAGGGAAATCCAGAAGTGCTGTGCTTAGTGGTTCAATAGACTTAGGGTTCTACTAATATTTGTGCTTTGGCTAACTTGCCACTGCAACACTAAAATAATAACAATCCCTCACATACGTGAACATGATTTTTTGACTGACTGAATTATGTATAATACTTAGATTTCATCCTTTAAAGTTTATGTTTTCTGAAGCTTCTACCATGAACGTGTATTCATTTCATACTAAGAGAAAAATTATTTTAATAATAAAGGAATTCTCCCTTGTAATTATCACCTAAATAATCACTGTGTCACATTCAAGTACTTAGACAAAAGCAGTGGTTTTCCCCCTAAAAAACCCTTTTTAACAAAACTCTGGTATTTAGAAAACTTGAAGCAAATCCATACTAATCCACTGAATAACTATTAGCTGAAATGAACTTTTAGTTTGTCCTCACACTGCATTGCTAGGAGTGTGAAGGTGGTTGGAAAAGTCACTTTCAGACCTTGTGACTTCCCAGTGAGGTGATGGGGCTGAAACACTCCCAGCCCAAAGCCTCTCTACATCAGGATAGCTACTGTTGAAAGCCTCTTTCCTCATCACTGAATAATTTAAGTATTTGGAATCAGGGTCACATGAATCAATTTAATATAAAAAGCACTACTTTTTTCATAAATTTACATGATAGTATGGATGATGTTGCTATAGTTATTTTTACTTCATTAAGAAAAATTTGAAAACTAGCTACATTTTACAAAAAAAAAAAATGAGGCAGATTTCAAACCAAAATTATTGTCCCTAACTGGTTTCTCAGAACCCCTTTTCTGGAAACCAGAGAGACTTTCAGATCTCTGTCCCTGGTAGTGGATACAGTGGTGTGTTTATTCATGTCAGTTGCACACTTTTAAAATGAAATGGTAATTTAGATTAATATAATATAGACGAGCCCTTCTTCTGCCTTCAAAAGCTGTTAAAGCCTGGCTTTGGTATCTGGAGATGTCTTTTATTAGGTGCAGAAATCAATATCATAATCATAAAAATCAGTATCACTATAAAGCATAACAATTATGATACGATTGTAAGCCTGCAGTATCTCAAATATTACCCAATACACTTGCTAAATGCTATTTCTGAAGTAAAGCTAAAGGCCCTCAGTTTGACTCTACATGGATTAGTACTGCTGAGGAGTTCCCTAACTTTTGTTGATAGTACAAAGAAATGAAAAGAGAAATTCCACACCTGTCAACGGCTCTCTGAGATTACACCGACTCTATTTCTGCAATTAAAACCGTGAGATTACAACCAACCACTCGTTCACTTTATAAACTCTGGGGGAGAGAGGCACTGACAAAGTTTTAGATTAAATGATACCTTGTGAGCAAATGGTTCCAACTTTTCACACACAGCCATGCCTTGCTATTAGAGGATCATTCTCCTTCTACCTGACAAATGCATGTGGGCCACATGAATGGCTTTATGATGTCCACATTGCTGGCATTTGTGAAAAAATTCAGAATTGGGTCACCAAGTTAGCTTTATAAAAATGAGATGCTTGTAATGTTAGATGCTCTAACAAGTGATTGTATTTTCCAAAACAGCACAGATTATTTGACCATTGAACACTCTTTGATTAGTTAAATGTAAAAAAAAAATTTTTTTTTCCTTTAAAAGCCATTCTTAAGACCAACTGTGGAATACAGCATTTGTTATGAGTGATGTGGGTATTTTGATTGCTTAAAGGCTATTAGCTATGTTAGGAGCTCTTACTCCAAAGTTTAAGTGGAAACAGCAATGAGGTCACAGGTTGGCCAAACAGTCCTATCCTGTGGGTCCTCCAAAAGACTGGGTACAAAGAACCTCTGGCCAAGAGTTTTGGAATCTGGATTGGAGATTTCCTAGATTTGCAACTGACTCTGTTGGCAAATGTAAATGTTCACTTCCTGCTGGGGATGCCAGCTGACAAATCATTTGTTCTTCCAGTTAGATACAGAACATACTTTGATCATCTTTTTTTTTTTGCTGCCTCATCAATCATCTTAACAGAACACAAACTGGACTATAAAGTGGCTATACAGCGCCCAGATGGTAGTTTTTCTATTAATTCATTATAAACAGCTCAAGCCTTTCACCCTACTTGTGTATTTTGAATCTGGAAGCAAAACTGATGAATTCCTCTGAGTCTGGGGCCTTAGGATCAGAATGCACTTCGCCATGATAAGCCTATCATATCACTTTAAGGCAAAAGAAAAAATCCTAACATAGGAAAGTATGGATTAGTGGTTTTACATCCACTTTTCACAATGGAAGGGCTAAGTAAATTGTCATTTGTGTTTTAAAATGTGGATATATAAGCATACATTTCCATTTTAGCATATCCATACGGGCTGGCATATATCTTATCTTCTTGTGGAAGTCAACACAATAAGCTTTACCATCTTTTCACAGGACTAAAGGATACGGGAGAGACAGCTTCACTGCCCATTTTATACCTTTCTGTATTTGAGTTTAACTATAGGCATTTATTACTTAAATTTTGTTTTAAAAAATAAATTAGTAGATTACTTAGATGGCATATTTTAATTTTGGACTATTCAAATATTATGGAACATTTCCACTTTCTTTATGGGTTTTGAATTAAAAACTTAACTAATATTATCTAAAAGAATAATAACAATTTCTTAAAAAGTACAGAAAGTATCAGAAATTGATACAGATTTCCAAAATTTTCTGAGAATAAATGATTGTAGTCATTAATGGAAAATAATGGGATTAATAAATAATTTGAAAACTTCTGCATTATAATTATATAATAATGTTTTTGAGAAGTTCTTTCAAGAATGAGTTCTGAATAGATCTCTTTAGCATGTTAGAGATTTAAAAAAAAATCCACACAATGACACAGAATGGACCTTTATGCCTACTGAGTAAATCAATTCTATTTCAGTACTTGATGCAAAGTACAATTCCACTTTTTAAGATGGTCATTCATAATTTACACTTAGCTCTGACATTTTCTACTTCCTCAACATCTATATAAAAATACCTTTGGTCAGGAAAAACACTTTTAGATGACAAAATGTAGCTTGAAAGATATTATATCCATTCTGATTTATATAACTTTCTGACCTAAAATTACTGCTGTTTTTGGAACTACACCAAATACATAGCTTGTTACTAAGCTTGAGCAGCCTTGGCATGAAAATGTTAGGGTCATACAAATTCACATTTTAAATATATTATTTTTTAATGAATTAAATGTAAATGGGAATCTTTGGTATTTATTACTCATTAGTTGATTCAATAAATATTTATCAAGCACCTATTATGTTCTATTAGAAGTGCTAAATGCCTGAATTCAAAAGTACATAAAAGTCCTTGCCCCTTCGATAAAATCGTAATCCACCTTCTTTTCGTTGCAGAAAGGATGAGGTCATGTACTCAAGTAACTTCTCTTGTTGTCTACCTCAACTCTTGAAAGTCAGGAACAAAAACTAACATTAAAATCAGAGTAAAGATGATAATTCTTCCCTGTCTCCTATATTCTTAAAATTAATTACATCATCTTAATATTAGTTTAATATACAAGCTAAAATAAAAGAGTCTAGTTAGTTCATCTGAGCAGTTCTCTTTAAACTATATATTTACAAATAAGATAAGATAGCAAATGTTCCCAGAATGCAATTCTATCCTGATACTCACAAACAGAAGGCACTTACTGGTGGGCCAGATTGTTATCAATACTATTATTCACATATAATCATTTACCAAAAAATCCCTTGGCAACTCTGGAGGAATTCTTGAAAAGTGACTTCTCTATGGTACATCACTTTAACATTAATGAAATACTATAAATGATTTTTAAATCTTGATTTCCTAGCTCCTTTCCACCTCTATTGCCCAAAATTAAATCACAGCAATCTAAAGAAAAATAAAATTAAAAAACGGGGCCCAAGGAACAGACTCCATATAGGCAACAATTCTAGGTTTTAATTCTTGCTGTTTGTTGCCTCTGAAATACATGCAAAAGTCAGTTAATTTGCAATGCTTTTAATGACAGTCAAAGGATAATATCAATTAAAACACGTCACAGACGTGTAAAATCAACAGCTGATTCAAAATGGCACGTAAAAAATGTGTAGCCTTTCATGGTGAAAAAGCCTAATCCCAGAGCAGCACCAGAGTCTGCATTCCTATGACATGACATTTGTTACCATATTTAATACATCATGATCAATAAGGATCCATGGTAGGAGACAGACTTAAGGTGAGAAGGTAATTACGTGACATGCTTCTCCAGGATCATACCAGCTTGAGCTTCTGTGACAGAAAAGAAATACTAGGTGTAGTTTGCCCTGCTGTTGTCAATGATTCTTATTCCACCCGAATTCTAACTCTGTGACTTTATTATCATGAGCTCCCTAAAATTTGCCAACTCCTTTCTCCAGCCACCTAGACCTAAAGGTCTGTATCTTCTTCTCAGGGTCTCATTTTCTACACTGAATGGACCCATTGCCACAATGAAGAGAACGCCCTCACACTCCTAAACGAGCATACACCCCGTTGATCTTGGCTCTGGCTACTGTAGTTTTGAATGTATCACTATTCTAAGTAGCTAAGACAACTGTTTACCGCTTAGCAGTTTTATGGAATACAATGTAATGAAGAGCATGACAACCACATTCCCTGTATAAAACATGTAGATATTGAAAGAGAAAGTCTGTAACCACAAGCTTCACTGCGTTTTCCTATCTCCTCTATTACAACCCGCTGTGTCCGTTCACCCTGCCGTCACCACGTCTATCTATGTGGCTGCTGAAAGACCCACAGCTTCTCCTGTTTCCTCTTCTTTTGTTTCAGCCCCTTCACTTACGTTCTCATTCTCCATCTCCGTTTCAACCTTTTCTCCTGTCTCACCTGGAAAAGAAATCAAAGGCGTTATTAAGAGATTCTCATTTAGCATGAACAATAAAGTGCCCCACAGCTGGTTTCCAACAGGGCAGCTCTCACACTTAGGTCTAAACAGTAAGATTCTCTGGTGATGTCGAGAAAGGCAGTCATCCTGGTTCTCTCAGATCCTCCCAGGGGCCGATATCACTTACCACTTCCGAGTCTTGGCATTCTCTTATATAAAATCAGGATGCAGAATTACCCAAGAAATGACAGCAGAACATATTACAAATAGAAAGTTCCATTTATATCTAAATCAAAGGTGGTCTAAGGGTGCCCAGAAACCTGTCTTGTTTGGCCATTATGATGTTTAAAGAAGACAATCATTAAACATTTAAAGACTGAAAACATTTCA